CAGTCCTACCCCATTCAATCCCTTCCCCCTGCTGTCCCTGGTCTCACCTCAGGGTCCCTGATGCACCTCCTTCTGGACATTTTTTCTAAGTGGCAGCTGAGCGGTAACAGCAGCCCTGCAGCCTCCACCTAGAGCGAGCCCCAGCAGCAACTCGCCCGCCCATTGGTTGACCGCCAGGCTCCGGGCCAATTGCAGTATTAAAGAGGAGCCTCCATATGCTTCCAGGAATGGCGGGGAAGCTGCTTCTCCCCACACTGCCAAGCTCCATGCAGCCCCAAGGAGAGGCGTTGGTCTCTCATCTCTTCCCTCCCTCAGTACCTTAAAACCTTCTCCTGGAGGAAAGGTTATCCCATGGAAAGTTTGGTTCCAGTAGGTCTTATAGCATCCAAATTATTAGAGCACAAACATACGAACATTCTCCTTTATATATTAGATTAGTGATTTGGAGCTTACATTATTACTATCTAAATTAACTAAAATGTTACGAGTTTTTCAGGGCACCTCTGACAAATTCCACTTTTTTTTAATCAAAACACTAGAAGTGTGCTGAAATACTAATAAAAAAAGACATTGGCACAGATTTGTAAAGGAAGTTAGACATTGCTTTGCTCAAGGATTCGAAGCCTACATGACAAACTTAAGTTTTATTTACAAATGCAATTTAAGAGGCTAAGAGATAAAGTGGGTGAGATAACACCTTTGATTCTCACCAACTGAAGAGGGTCCAGAGACACAATTTCAACCTACACAGAGCTTTTCTTCATGTCTTTTTAAGAGCCTAAGTCATTTCCAAAAATGAAAAACTTAGGCTCTGCAATGATGAATGAAGCAACACACACACAAAAACTGGACTAAAGCACCTGCCTGCATCCACTAGCTTAATCTTGGTTAATATTCTGTTTTATATATAGCTAGTACGCTAACTTATCTAATCAAACAGGCATGAACACACATTTTTGTGCATGGACTGCCAGGGAAGTAAAAATGTAAACAAGATACTTGTCTTTAAAAAAGGCTAAAGTTATCAAATAATCTGATATCAATTCACTGATTGCTATGATCTCACACAAAACAATCCAGCTCCCTAAATAGAATAAAACATAATTTTGTCCCGAAACTAAAGCAATGTTTTAATTACGCAAGTGAAATCACTTAGCTTGCTAACATGAGTGTTTATTCATCAAAGTTTTGTCATAAGGAGTGAAAAGAATACCACTTCAGTATGTTTATTACTACTTTCACCTTACAATCTTAAATTCTAGACAAAAAAAGCGTAAGTCAGAAATAGTTATCCTAGTCACGAGCAATGCTCAAAGAGAGAAGACACAGATCGAGTCACCAACAGCTACTATACCAATAGACGGGGTTTGTCAACACACACGAGCTGCATCCGTTTAACTAAAAATTTTTTATATCGAACTAAACCAGTGCAATCCATATGAAATGTGCAGTGACTTGGAACCAAACCCTGTCAATTTTCACTGCAGACTCAGCTTAATCCATGGATTAAGCCAAAGGTCTGATTACCACAGTATGGCGGTGGGACCCACGAGAGCCCAGGTTTACATTCAGTGTGGATACTTGAGTATGTGCTTAGAAAAGTCCACAGACCCAGATTCACAATGCAGCATGGACACACTCAGTGAGGCTCTGCAGAGACTAAAGAATCTGTGCATATGGGGCTGCCTGCAGAATCTGGACCCAACTCGGTACATCTAGACTGCCCTTCCCTACTCTCCCCACCCCCCACATAAAAAAGCCCCCCATACACTACAATAGCAAGTCTCAGAACTTGGGTCAACTGCCAAACTCACAGGGCTAAAACATCAGCATAGACATTCTTGCTCAGGCTGGAGCCTGGGCTCTGGGACTCTCCACTTTCACTGGATTTCAACCAGGCATGCCTATTCTTAGCCCTCAGTTGATGTCACCACAGTTGATCCAGGCTCCAAGACTCACTGCTGAGGTTTTTTTTTCCTTGCAGTCCAGATGTACCACTCACACCTTCAACAATGTCAGTTACAAATTAATTGTACTGAAGAGAGACATTCTTTGTACCTGCTTAAAACTGTAAGAGAAAACATATGCAATAACTGTCATTCATGGACAGATTTACCATCATTGACCATGTTAGCTTAACTAGTCACAGAGATTCAACAAGTTTTACAATATCTACAGTAAGATTTACAGTAAATAGCTCCCTCTGGAAAGTAATACCTTTAATGTATTCCAGATTTATTTAAAAATCAACTAAAGCTTTCAGAGAGTTAGATATATACCCCTTCTGATTATCTGCTGAATGTATCTTCCTAAATGCTACCATTAAATTAGGATTTCTGCATTTAGCTGCTCCAATTCTGAGACTATTAATGCTACTAACGTTAATCAATATGCACTGTATCCTGGACCATTTTACAAGCTTTAGAAAATGATATATAGCAATAACAGCAAAGTTTACATATAAAAATGGTTCTTATGGAATTAAGAAGGCCAGAAGCCTGTGTCCATTTGTGAAAAAGATTTCTTGTAACCACAGATGAAAATTTCATCTACACTATATTTGAACTAATACTGGTTTGAAACCAATACAAACAAGCAACACAACCTTTTAGTGTGAATGTAGTTATATCAGCACAATGTAGCTTATTCCCAGCAATGTAAGAAAATAAGTTATGCAGATATAACTGTGTTCATTTTAAGGGAATTGTAGTGATTTAATTAGTCCAGTAAATAGAGAGTCATCTCTGACACAATAAAATTGGTATAAAAACTGTGTTTAGATCAGACCCCAGTGTCCAATTATCCACTGTCCTGCATCTTGCACAGTTTATTTCACCACCACAAAACAGGAGAAATTGTAGTACCTTCTGATTTGACAATACTTTGCACTCACTTTGCCCTGCATATAGCATAGTCATTTACATCATTGCAAAGGAGAATTAGACTCTAAAAATTGATGTAAAGACAGTTTACAAAAATCTCAGTAAAACAAAATATTGTGAATCACAGATGAAGCTCCCTCAGACACAGATTTAGAACAAGAAAATGTACACAGGTAAATGCTGATAGAATGATAAATTATATTTGGAGTCTCCACTGAAACATGCACATTCTTCAAGCATGAACACCCTGAGGTGTGGACCTTTTATGCACAGACGACCAATAGTCTAACAGTTACTACAGCTAACTGCCTAAGAGTTAAAAAAGTAACTTTAAGTAGACAGGTCAAATGAAGGATACCTTTCTGTGCTCAACTCTGACAAAGTAGATGGCAATTTTGTCTGTCAGTTCTGTTCTTGAGAAATTGATAGACAAGCATCTACATTAGCTCCTGCACATCCTAACGCCTACTGTTAGGCATTCTTATTACTATATAGCTAAATGACAGAATAATTACACTTTGAAAGCAACGACAATCCATCATTGATTATCTAACTCCAGTTACCAAGAACATTCTGATACCGCACTGAATTTTCTCTGTTATACATCTGAATTCATTTTACTGTCCTCTATGACACTTCTATGAATTCAGCCTCATTGTATCTAGTTTTCTTGCAGAAGATTTAATATATGTACTAAGAGGGTAGTTAAAGAATGAAGGCTTTAACATTACTCACTCAAATGCAAAGAAGAGTCCACTGGTCACCAAGATGAGAACTAGAGTCAGGTAAAAGACTCCAGTCTGCCGGGCCATCATGATCCTTCCGTTGCAAAAGAATTTGTTTCTTCCAGGGAAAATCTCCCATTTTCTCTTGGGAGCTGCTTTCTTTTTCTTATGGGGAGACTCCATGGGAGATGAGGAGCTATGTGTGCTGATCTGACTGTACTCACAGTCTTTCATGGGCCCACTACCACCTCCAGGAGTCATCAAGGGAGTGTAATGAGGGAAACCCCACAAAACAAAGATTCTTCCGACCAAGATAATCCTCCCCACTAGCCCCAATTTAAAAAATAAAGGGCAAGTTTGTTACCAGAATGGTGGTAAAATGTATTAGCCAAGCCCCGATTAACCCTTGAAAAACTAAAGCTGTCATACTAGAAATGCTTGGGAGGTATTCCTTTGCTCTCCACCAAAATTATACACTAATTTAAAAGAGTCTTTTATGGTTATAAGAGCAATTTATCACAAAACAGGAACAAAAATTACAAAATAGACTGGTTGACCACAAAACTTAAAAAGCGTTAGTCTGTAATGGAGTCTTGTTCTTTCCTCAAAAGAACACGCCCCCCAGATCATACTGGAGATCAAAATTTTGGGTAAAAAGAGGTTCTGCAGTTGAATCTCTCCCATTCACAAGGTTTTATTAATACTCCCCATGCAGCAAGTTTCATCACAAAAGAAAAATGCATATTCCTAAGAGAAAATCCTTCTCTCCCTGTCCAGAAGGCACCACACCAGGCAAGCACACACCAATCTAGCTGCAACTCCAGTTCTTAAGAAACACCCCGTATAGGGATTTCTTCCTCCTGGTTCAATGCAAAGTGGCGACAGTTTTTTCTTATTTGTCTGAGGCGGTGAATAGTTATGGTTGATCTGAGAAGATAAATATTTATTATAGTCTATTTTCTCCCTCTATCAAATTAAAAATTGTTTCAGTAGAGAGAAAGCAGAATCAGTGCCTGTCCTTGACAGCCATGGACACTGTTGGAGCCAATCCTCATTCTTTTCGTACACACACAAGAGGAGAAATTTCTCCTCCTCACCCCGTCTTCTGGGCAGTGTCAGGGTCTGGAAGTGTGTGGGTGGCTGTTATCAAACCCAAGTCCTCTAGACAACAGGTCTCCGTCGCTTCCTCGTGCCCGTTGCTCCGGATCAATCCCGCGTGGCAGCCGGTTTCCTGCTCCCTCCTCGGCCCCGAAAAAAGGATTCACGGCGTGTAGGTGGATGTGTCTCTCCGCCGAGGGCGCTTCCTCCCCATCGTCTCCTCCACACGCCCCCCCTCCCTGCTCGCCACCTTCTCCCTCCGCCTAGGCAGTGGCAGCGGCCCCGCCAGCAC